TGCAAATTTGACTTCATAATTCTCAAGAAAACCTGATGAAAACCAAAACCCTAATTTGGCTGATGAATCAAAAGAGTGATTCCATTTGTGATCAAACACAAACCCCAATCTTCTGATGATCTAAAGAGATGAATAAAGCATCTTGAGATATGTAACAAATTTTGAGCTCAAAATATTCATAGGTTTAGATGATAAGATTCTTCTTGAGCAACTTGTCAATGTAATCAACCTTCAAAGCTTTGAGGAAAACTTGGTAACCAAAGTACTTTGATCCTATCACAATGTATGAATGTAATGCACTATGATGTTCATGATGAAACATAAGCCTAAATCAAGAGGGTAAATTTTGGGGTGCAACAGCTGCCCCTATTCAAATATCTTCAACATGATAAGTGAGAAAAGTGATAACTTTTGAGCGTTCAGGGTTGACGATGTTTGAATACGAAAGAACCCAAAAATTTACACTCTTGAAAGTAAAGGAAATAAAACTCCCAAGACATGCGTCAGAATGAAGCTGCAACACAGGTTGAGACAGAACGAAAACAAGAGAAGGGTAAGCGCAGCTAAACTTCCGGACAAACGTGTCAGGGCAAAACCGGGATTCAAAAGGAAGGGGTGAGACAAAACTCAACCAAAAGAGTATAGACGAAACTAAGCTCTGTAACAGAAAACGTACGCGGGTGAGGAGACGAAACTCTGAGCTTGACCCAAGGCAAAGTGGCTAGAGTGCGTGATTCTAGGGACACTTGCCAACCTCAACTAAGATAGACAATGTGAAGGAACTGAAAGAATCTCAGAAATGAGGAACAAAAGCGAGACGTAACTCGACTCAAAGACCAGTTAAACGAAACTAAACTAGATGAGTACCGGGACGAAACTGGATTTTACGCATGGGTAACGAGGCGAAACTCGACCCAAAGCAAAGTGATGAGAGTGCATGTTTCTCAGAGCACCTGCTGGTCTCAGATCAATGGATAAACAGTGATGAAAATTGATAGAAGAATCCAAGGAACAAAGGAGACTGATTTCAAACCAGGGACGCAGTACGAACACTACACTCGGTAAACAAACACCGCCAAAGAGTCCAGGGTAGGAAAGCAAAAACGAGAAGAAACTCGACTCAATAACTAGTTAGACGAAACTAAACTAGATGAGTACCAGGATGAAACCGGATTTCATGCACAAGGTGAGGAGACGAAACCCTGAGCTCAACCCAAAGTAAGGAGATTAGGGCGTACACCTAAAAACCTGCTGAAAGCGAATATCAGGATGAAACTGGTATTCGAAAGGTGCATCAATAAACATTGGAATGAACCAAGTAGGGTAGTGAAGACTAAACCCGAGAAGACCGCGCCAGGGCGAAACTGAACTATAGTCAATAGTAGACACTCAAACAAACAAATGATTAACGACACCAAAAGGATATTGGTACGGGGTGGATAATGAGGATGAAGACCTCGTTGGGGATTAAATCCGAAGTTTAAGCAAATCACTGGGGATAACAAAAATAATAATGGCTTATGTTCTGATGCATGTTTTGAATTCTTTTTATAGCGCAATGCTCCATATAATGGAAATGATACGCGTTTGGGTAGATGCAATGTAATGATGCATGTTTAAAAGTCTCACTGGGGAATGGCCAATTGAGAAGCCAACAACCAAGGGGTCAGCATTTGACATGGCTTGCAAAAACGAATTGCAAAATCCAAAGGAGAGGAGAAAATATGGGAAACCACTAGAGGGGGAGCCTTGAAGAGACGAAGCCTTGCGGAGAATAACAAAAGGGCAACAAGTAGAAACGGGCCACGAACACTTGAGAGGAACCGCAAAAATAAATTGCAAATTCCTAGAGAAGATCAGGTCGTCACTGTAGCTTCCGGAAAGGGATGAAAATCTTTGATGGAGGAATAAAGCCCTGCCGAAGAGGTGGGACCTCACCGGGGAGACAGAACTCTGTTGAAGACTTTTGTTGGAGAGAGATTTTTCTTTGAAATGCAACCTTTGGATGGATCATGCAGATAGTCCCACAGTACCGACTTTACTGGGGATAAGGAAAGATCTTAACATAAGGATGCCCCAGTCAGCAGATCGGTTGGGAAATGAGAGGTCAAAGCGAGGGATCTCTATTGGCAATCTCAAAAGGGAGTTGAAACTTCTTCAGAAAGTAGGTTCTTATTTAACGACTCCACCGGGGGTGGATGACACATCCAAACTTGAAGTCTTGGAACAAGGCTTTTTGAAAGAAAATCCCTGAAGTAACAAAACTTTGCTGCGGAAACGAAACTTCACCGGAGGAAGGAAACTTCACAGGGGATAAGCAGAAGAAGAAAGCCGAACATTCCCTTTTTTGACCATGATTAAGCCCTTTACAAGTATTCAACGTGTAAACTTTTTTGATGTCAAACAACTGTTTTTGCACACAGAAAAATGTTTATTGAGAATGATAGACCTGATGCGATAATTATTTAAACCTTGAAGTCGAAAACTTTATCAAAATGTCGCATATCTGTTGTGAACGAATCACTGGCTAGAGTGCAAAAAGGTTTTTTAAAACTTTTCTTCCCCTTTTTGAAAAACGAGTCAAGATGCAGGTGATAAGATACCAACATGGATATGCAACACATATTTGGGGAGTTTAGGAAATGTTATCCCGTTGTAGTATGCTTTCGAGTTAAACCCCTATTTCAGTTAGGACTTTTAGAGGTTGTAACGTGGCCTGGTTCGAGGTTATTTTGAAAAAAAGTTTTTCAAGGCTCAAGTTATTTGGTGCCCACCCCCGCCGTGATATTCTTCTGTCCTAAGTTCAGCTGATTTATCACAAACATTCATCTTTCAAAAAGATTTATGATGGTTGAGTGATCACGACAAATCCTCCAACATGATTGTCACTTAACTTCTTCTGCTTTTGTTGTTTATATTATTATTCCTCTTCTTTTTGATGAAAGTTCTATTGAATATTTTTTGGCCTTTTAGGCTCTCTTTTCCCTAATTTTTGCCTGGACAAAATCTTTTGGATTTTAATTTTGGAAGTCCAGCGGGATGCCCTAACTTTTGCCTAAGTGACTTGTTTTCAAGTTTCAACTTAGCGGGGATTTTTTGTTTCTTTCTCATTCATACTTTGAACAAGTCAATGTGATTTTAGGTCTTTGAACTTTTTCTTTCTTTCTCTCTTTTTTTTTTGAAGAGAACAAATGCCTCATTCCTTGGTCAGCGAGGGATAGCCATTATTGTATCGATTTAATCTCGACCTCAGAACTTTGTGAGGAAATGAACATCGTGGTTTTGACATTTTTCCTGATCTCATGATGCGAAAGATGAAATGTGGTGATCCTCAGAGGGGACTGTTGTACCCCAATTTTTGACCTAAGATCCCATTTTTATTTTTGCATTTTTAAAGATAAGTCAAGGTCACGAAATACAGTCGGTTTTAATCTTTCACCTTCAAGCATTGACTATGCGAAGATTGTCAAGTGTTTTGAACATTTTTAGCCCATGTATCACTAATTTCTAATCCATACAAAGGTGTATGTTCATGTTTTCTTTTGCTTCATGTGCAGAGACAGGTCTGAATCAAGAGCATCAGGTGTCACGCCTCAATTAAGGTTTTGAGCCTCTCAAGCCAGAAGTACGGTTGATTGTGGATTCTCGAAGACTGATTCATCAAGGCACAACTGTTGCACCCTAAATTTCGCCCCTAATTTTTTCAGTCGCACATTCATACCATATTTTGTCATTTGGTCACAATCATTAGTAAATATCTTCATTCATCATATTTTGCATCATTAGTCGTATTTAAGTTGACCAGAAAAGTCAGTTTAAATCAAAGTTTGTATCGTCTTTTAGTTAAAAAAATACTTGACATTTCACTTCATGCATTTTTATCTCTTTACTCGTTTCTTGCATTGCTCCAAGTTTTTTATATGTCGATAATAAAAATATTTTGATTTTATAGACAAACTGTTAAAAGCGATTCAACAATGTGCGAAAAATTAGCGAGAAAAATATTTCAAGTTTTCACCTTTTACCGATCATTTTATGAATCTGCGCTTCGCGTAGATTATGACGGTACGCTCGCTTTATTTTTTCGGTACAGTTCGAAGTCTCGTTTTTAACCTTAAACGTCTGTTTAGTCTGATATTTTTATTATTATTTTATCTTTGATTTTTGACTTCTTGAATATTTTTTCTTTAATCTTTGTGACATGTAGATTATTTTAATGTGTTCATTTTATTTTTTCGGATAAATTTTCGTCCATTTTTTTTATCATTTTCGGTCATTTTGGGTCTTTATTTTTTATTCGTAAAATATTCAAAAAAATCATTTTTAAATTGAGTTAATTTTAATACATTTAGTTTTTTGGTTATTTTTATCATTTAAGGGCTATTTGGTCACAAAAAATATTATTTACACTGTGCTTGATTCCTATTGGTTGCTAACAAAAGTTACGGATCAGTAAATTGAATTTATTTTGGACGGATCAGATTAAATCTGAAAACAATATTCCTTTTCATTTTCTCTATTTAAGAATCTTCATGTTCTTTGTAACAAAAAAAAAGGAAAAAGACAGATAGTAATTCATCTCAACTTTCATCTCTCTCTCCACTATCATTCACAAAAACAACAACATAAACCAATTCTCCAATCCATCTCTCTTCCCTGCTTGTACTTGTCTCTCAGCAATCTTTCTGTTTCACTGGTACCAAACATATTGTACATACCCATTTTCCTCAAAACCCCACCCAATTTTGATCCTCCAATTAAAAAAATCACAAGACTCAATTTTTCCATCAAATTCAAACACCCTTTTTGCCAAAACAATGACTTCAACAAACTCCACTTCCACACCCACCGTCCTCCCTTTTCATTCCGTAAACCAACCGTTCACAAAACCCAACCAATACTCCCTCTGTCTCGCTCATCGCACGCTCCCTTTAGCCTCATACTCCTCACCATTTTCACACCTCCAGCACAACATTCCCCATTTCCCCCAAATCACAAAAATGAAGTACGTTTTGATCATCGGCGGAGTAGTAAGCGGCCTCGGCAAAGGCGTCACCGCCAGCAGCATCGGCGTCGTGCTTAAGGCCTGCGGCCTTCGCGTCACTTCCATCAAAATCGATCCGTATTTAAACATAGACGCTGGCACCATGTCTCCCTTTGAACATGGAGAGGTTTTTGTTCTTGATGACGGCAGAGAGGTTGATTTGGATCTGGGAAATTATGAGCGTTTCCTTGATGTCACGCTTACAAAGGATAACAATATCACCACTGGGAAAATATACCAGTCTGTTCTTGAGAAGGAGCGTAAAGGGGATTATCTTGGGAAAACTGTTCAGGTGGTTCCACATATCACTGATGCCATCAGAAATTAGATTGAGTCGGTTGCTGTGATTCCAGTGGATGGAAACGAAGGCCTTGCTGATGTTTATGTCATTGAGCTTGGAGGCACTGTGGGTGATATTGAATCTATGCCATTTATTGAGGCTCTGCGGAAATTGTCATTTCAAGTGGGGCCTGACAACTTCTGTCTCATCCACGTTAGCCTGATACCAGTGTTGGGTGTAGTGGGAAAAAAACATCAAACAGTTGGCATGCATTATACCCTCCAACTCTTTTCTTTGTTCATCTTCATAACCTCAGTGCTGTAAACTCGCGGTCATCACCTTCGTGATATCATCCTCCATCTTTATCACTGTAATCTCCTTCTATTACTCTCATCAACAACAACTGAAACATCCTTCATCACCGATCTTTGATAACAGCCATCCCTTCTATTTTTGCAAATCATCCTCATCAGTTCCCTGCCATATAACAACCGATCATCTTTCAATTTCACGAGCTTCAGATCCACATCCAAAAAACACAGAGATCAAACTTCATAAATTTGAGAACGAAATCCATTTTTCTTCACCACTACAACCGACTAAATACTCCCCGTTGTCAAAACACTTCTCCAAGCACTTAACAGTCAAGCACAACTCAGCTGCTCCCATCGCACATCTTCATCTATTCATTGTTACCGTCAAGTTGCACGGTATCATCAGTTCACGAGCTACCAGTTCCGTCAAAGGCGTAACTTTCTTGTTACAGCTCCAGCTTCCTCAGGCCAACCGACAGGAATCAACATCCCAACAGTGGCACATCATCAACATCATCACCGCGCCGGCAAAACAGTGACCGCTATGGATGTTGTTTATGAACTCAAGAGGAAGGGAAGGACCCTGTATGGTTTTGGGGTACCTCCGCCTCTATTTCTTTTCAATCACCATCAGTACCTTCGCCTATGTTTCTTCTCGACGGCTTCAACGACTCCATTTGGAGCATCGTCATCGGCTTCTTCAATGCCATTTGGAGCACCGTCAATAGCTTCTGTGACTGCGATAACTTCGGCTAGCTCATCGACTTTGACACTTTCGGTAAGCTTTCGATTACTAGTTCATTTGTTTGCATAATTATGGTAATGAGAAATTTTCTATGTTAGAATTTTGATGATAATGACATTGTTGTTAGTTCATGGTTGATTAATAATTATTGTTGTTGAAGTTATTAAATTAGTTTTGAGGTGATGATGATTATTGATTGTGAGATTGAAACTTTGTTGATTTATTAAATTGAATGAAGAACATGTTGTTATGGTAGTGAAAAAATTTGGTAAACGCAAAATAACAAGTAACAATGTTTTCCCAATTTCCTCTGTTTCCCTCTTTCAATTTCCTCTCCATTCAATTGTCACAACCAGCTTCACTCCTTCGCAATTTAAACTGGCCTCAAAGCCCATTACACACGCAGTACCAATATTGTAGCCCACTCTTCAATTCCTATTTCATTATTTGCAGTATATTTTGGTTATTGTTATTTTATTTTAGTTAGTAACATAAACTAATTTAGAATTATAATATTGTTTGTTTTTGGGTTTTAATTAGTTTTCTTTTCTAATTACTGTTTTGAATTTACATTGAATAATAACATGAGTTCTTGGTTCTTAATTGAAAAAATTTAATTTTCTCATATGCATTCATGCAATTTCATTTCGATTTATACTTTGTTATTACCGACACATGTTCTATTTGTTGCAATTTCATTTGATTTTATTTTTATACTTCGTGACTACTAACCCATGTTTTAATTGTTGCAATTTCATTTTTATATCTCTTATGCTACTAACAAGTTTGTTTACCGTGAAGGTTTCCGAGAACTGTTTCAAGAGTTCGTTCCCGCGTAGCGCATTTATAATTTTTCTTTATTCCCTTTTTACCTTACTATTTTGATTTAATATTTGGTATTGTAAATACATATTTGTACATGATATTTTGACTGTATATTTTACTTGTAAATAAATTCAGGTTTTGAAAATATTATTTTCATCGCATTATGATTTTATTTTTAATTCCAACTAACTTCTGAAAATTGTGCGGACGCACATAAGTTTCCCGTGCTGTTAGATTTTGTCGGTATATCTCTTGTGATGCAGATCTGACATTGTGAGCTTTATCCACCGCCTTTGCTCTTTATCTGATGCTTGGAGTATTATCTCACATTAGGTTTTTTGATGATGCTGTCGGCTTGTGATTTATTTTCACCTAAGGTTTGATATACTCTTAGCTTATTTATCCGTCTATGGTTTTAACTCCAAGGGAAAGATTTAAATTTGTTGACTTCACGTCATCTAATGCATCTCACCCGATCGTGCGAATACCCTTTTTTCTCATTTTTTTTGTTTGTTTACTATTTTGCTAAACTCAAGATAATTTTTACAAAAGACCCCATTTTCAAACTCACACCTTTTAAGTCAAAACTTCGACACTAGGTCGTCGTATCTTAAAAAAATCTCGTCCATACCCCTCTTTTAGCCAAACGAATCATTTTAATCAAACAAACAATTTTAAACCAAAAAAACAGATATTTCAAAAGGTTCCTACGGAGTACCGCAGATGCATTGGGTGCTAATACCTTCCCATTGTATAACCAACCCCCGAACTCTTGATCTCTTTTCAAAACGCGTTGTATTTTTCATTACTTTTAAGTATTATTATACATTGCATATTTTAGGGTTTTATTTCGCTCTTTTCCCTTTTCCCTTGGAAATAATAAATCGCGGTGGTGACTCTTGCTTTTTGTGAGTCAAGTTAATTAATAGCTTGATCTCCGATTTTCACCGCTACAGGGACATTCCCTCTGAAATTTGAATGCTTGGTCAAATCAACTGAACATCTACCCTGCCCCTGGTTTAAAAAAAAGGTTTATTTTTCTTTTTCGAACAGAAAGAAAAAAAAATCCTACTTCGAAGGCTCAGAGGGGTTAACGAGGGTCTAACTCCCTTATATATCCAGTGTTTGGGGATTAAAACAATGCTTGTACATCATCAACAGGGTTCTACTCAAAAGCATACCATTACAGTCATCGTTTTTAGCTAAACTCCTTCCTCCAAACTCTTGGCTAAGCAAAAGAATTGGCACAGTTGGTATCAAAATGCCCGAAAAACGATTAAAGAGTGATACAAGATGGATTAAGTAAAATGAAACAAAAAATTATTCCAAGGCAAAAATATTCAACGCATCAAGACTGACATTCGGCTATAAACAAAATACTATATGCAGACAATGCTAAAACAATCAATCAAGATGACACATGAAAGTGCGGCAAAGAAACATAATAAAAGCCATTATGGGGAAGCAGTGTCTCCAGCCAGGTTCATCGGTCCTGCCGACCTACCGTAACCTTGATATTATCCTGACCCATGATCTTTAGCAACAACCCAGAGCTGTGAAACAAAATGGCAAGACAAACGCCAACAGAGTGAAGGAGAGATTTATCAAACATAGAACCAAACATGCCCCTTACACAACGGCGGTCGTGTTTGTTATCCGCATATCAAGAGATCAACCAACCATGACTTAGATTACCATATCCGTGTAAGACCCATGAAGTTTATATGCACATGCTTATAAAAAATATTGGACGTTTTTTGCGAAGAAAATAGTAAAAAGGGAGAAAAGAAATGTATACGCATACTTGAAAGAAGATATTTTATTGATTTTGAGAGATCAGACTGTGAAAAATGCATTTACATTTGGGAGTAAGTAATTACAAAATCAAAGCAAACAAGTGTTTACAAATGGCAATGTAAATGTGAATATCCATCGAGTCCCGACTCTGCTATGACTCTGATGACTCTCATCCTCCTGCTTTCAGACAGATCAAACTTAGATTGGCTTCGAGCTTATGCCAGGCGATGGATTAAAGGAAAGAAGCAAAGGATCTCAAGCTGAGCGTAGTCATTTGCTTTAAGTCCCTAACTTTTTCCTGAATCGCCCTTTCAGGTTTTCGATTCACCAGGACACCCCTTTTTTCCTAAACCCCCCTTTCGGGTTTTCAGTTTAGCGGGTTATTTTTTTATGCAAAGTATTTTTTTACTACGTCAGCATTCACAGGGAGAGGGAAGTATTCTCCATCCATAGTCGTGAGCATCATCGCCCCTCCAGAGAAAACTTATCTGACCACGAAAGGACCTTCATAAGTTGGAACCTACTTTCCCCTGGGATCTCCCTGGGGAAGAATTATCCTCTTGAGCACAAGGTCGCCTAGTTTGTAACACTGAGGTCGTACCCTCTTATCAAAAGCTTTTCTCATCCTTTGCTGATATACCTGACCATGACATACATCCGTCAACCTTTTCTCATCAATAAGTTCCATCTGATCCAGCCTATTTTGAACCCATTCACTTTCATCTAGCTCAACATCTCTCATGACCATAAGAGAAGGAATCTAGACTTCTACCGGCAGTACTGCTTCCATGCTGTAAATCAATGAAAATGGGGTTGCCCCAGTCGAAGTACGCACCGTGGTGCGATAACCATGCAAAGCGAAAGGCAGCATCTCATGCCAATCTTTATAGGTTACCACCATCTTCTGCACAATTTTCTTGATATTTTTATTGGCCGCTTCGACATCGCCATTCATCTTTGGTCGGTATGGAGAAGAGTTATGATGCTTGATTTTGAAGGACTCACAAAGCTCCTTCATCATCTTGTTGTTCAGATTAGACCCATTATCGGTAATGATCTTCTCGGGCACTCCGTAGTGACAGATGATGTTGTGCTTAATGAACCGAGTTACCACCTGCTTGGTGACATTGGCATAGGATGCAGCTTCACCCATTTTTTAAAATAATCGATGGCAACCAGAATGAAATGGTGCCCATTGGATGCAGTCGGTTCAATTTTGACGATCATATCAATTCCCCACATCGCAAACAACCAAGGGGAAGTCAAGACATTCAAAGGTACTGGCGGCATATGCACCTTATCAGCATAGACTTGACATTTGTGGCAAACCCGTGCATGATTGTAACAGTCAGTCTCCATGGTGGACCAATAATAACCTTCTCGCAACATCTTTTTAGCCATGGTGTTCCCGTTGGAATGGGTCCCGAAATCACCTTCATGTATTTCCTCAATGATTCTAGCTGCTTCTTTCTTGTCAACACATCTGAGCAGTAAACCGTCATGATGCCTTCTGTACAACACACCACCACTGAGAAAGAACTTAGCTGAAAATATTCTTAAGAACTTCTTATCTGTGACGGATGCCTCCTCAGGATACTCTTGTGTTTCAAGATATTGTTTAACATCATAAAACCAAGGATTACCATCTGGTTCCAAACTGGCCTTAAAATAGAAAGCTGGCTCACTCAAACTTCTGATAGTAATGGAAGGTGCCTCATTAGCCCACTTAACCTTGAACATGGAGGACAAAGTTGCTAGTGCATCAGCTAGATTGTTTTCTTCTCTGGGAATGTGTTCAAATGTGATCTCTTCGAAGTACGGAATCAACTTCATAACATGCTCACGATACGGAATTAGGTTCTGATGGCGAGTCTCCCAATCTCCATTAATCTGGCTGATAACAAGATTGGAATCCCCGTAAACTTTCAAAAATTTGATGCGCAGGTCGATCGCCGCTTCAATGCCATAAATGCATGCCTCATATTCGGCCATGTTGTTAGTGCAATCAAAACAGATATGAGTTGTGAAAGGAATGTGGTATCCCTCAGGAGAAGTGATAATAGCTCCGACGCTGTTGCCCATGGCATTAGAGGCACCATAAAAAACAAGCGTCCAACGTGATCCTGGCTCGGGTCTTTCGTCTGGGCCAGGCATATTACAATCCCGAATATACATAATTTCCTCATCTTGAAAATCAAATTTCATCGGTTCATAATCGTCCATGGGCTGATGAGCAAGATGGTCGGCCAGTACACTACCTTTAATTGCCTTTTGAGTAGTGTATTGGATATCATATTCGGTGAGTATCATCTGCCAACGAGCTACCCTGCCTGTAAGAGCTGGCTTCTCAAAAATGTACTTGATTGGATCCATCTTGGATATTAAGTAGGTGGTGTGAGTTAACATGTATTGCCTCAAACGTTTGGCGGCCCAGGCAAGCACACAAC